ACTGGTTAAATACACAAATATTAAAAATAAATCAAGATGGACACAAAATGGTAGCAAGGTAGAAACTTCTCAATAAGTATTTTAATAGCAATATCAAAAGCGAATGAAGGAAAGCATTCATTAACAGCATTTGTGACCATATTTTCACCTGTAATGGAAGAAATACCTTTTCATTTAGAAACTCAAGGACCTGATAAAGTTCCCTCAAAAAAGGATTTAAACAAAATCACAGAGGAAATTAAACCAAAAGTAAAGCAAACCAGTGAGATGATGCCCAAGAGCTGGAAAAAATTCTTATTGTTCCTCTGATCAATGCTGTATAAGTAAATCAAGGCTCTCTTTGCTCACTGCAAAGAACCTCTTACTCTTTTCAAATATGCTTTACAGAAAGCCAACATTAAGGATTACATTTCTCATGTAAAACCCTCCTTTTAAAAGACAGATACAAACCCCTAAAGGTTTAAGCCTAACTTACAGAAAGGCAAAACAGCTTTTCATCTCATTAAGCTACCAGTAAAGCTTTATGGAATCTCACCAAAGGTCCTTCCACAAAATCTGGTGGCAAACCTAGAGGTGATGATTACAAGCAGGATCAAACTTTTCATAGGCCAACATCATGCCATATATATTGGTATTCACTTACCAGTATTTTTCCCCAGCTGAATGCTCCCAGTTTACGTCACCTGATGAGGTCCCATTTCCATTCAGGAACCCAGGCACCACCAAAGCACATGCAATAAGTAAGGATGCAGAGAACAGATAGATAGACCAATGTAAACCAAGATAGCTGTTCAATTTGTAGAATTTGATTTGGTTGGGAAAAAGTGCAAACTAAGAACTACTCAAATTCTGCATTTTACAAATTCTGCATTTGTCAGGAGTCTGTAATTGTAAATTAGGATGCCCAAGGATGTCCACAAGGCTACAAAAGCCTTCTGAGGTTACTCAAGAAAGAGTAACAAGAAACGCAAAGAATTCTGGTGTAAAGCAACACTAGTTTAAAAAAACCTTCTCAGGGTCTGTCATTTCTGCAGAGAAACAAAATCATAAAGATTTGCTATAAAGGGTCTTGAGTTAGTATTACAAGGAAAAATAATTAAGCCATTTGTATTCCTTTTTGTCTTTTTCTTTATGACAATAATTAAAGGAGAAAACAGTACAGTTCAAATAGCAAACTCATCTCAGAAATATGTACAATATGTTATTCTGTTAGCGAAAAGAAGAATACATTTCTATTCTGGTGCTGAACAGTGAAGCCTCTGTCACCAGTCAGCTCATGTAGGCGACTCTTAACGCCTGTAACCTTGCCAAAAAGAAAGTGAAAGGCTTATTGGTTTGACTTTGTACCATGGAAAAAAACAGGATGTACACCAGAGGTTTAGGAGCAAAATGTCTGAAAACCTTTGGCATTAACTGCAGTGACTTAGAATCTGAGTCCAGAGCAATAAAATTCTCTCCTGCAGTTTTGTACCTGTACACATATGCATTCAGGTAAACTATTAACGATACTTTATATCCTAGGAAGGTTGTTGCTGTTTTAAACAAAAAATGCTCTTTCAGTGAAACTGTATAAATGAATTCCTTTTGCCAGCAACATCAGCTAGAGAATCCTCTTATTTCTTAAGTAGTAAACAGTCACATAGCCATGCTAATTCGCTCACACTTACATGTTATTAGTATTCAGCACATTAATTTTACCCCTCCCAGTGAGTAAGGAAACCACAGAGAAGCAAATGCTGCCAGACTCCTATCAAACCAAAAACAGCTCCTGGAAATAACCCCCAGACAAGACCTGCCACGCTAACAACTTACAGAACACAGAAAAGACACTTTCTAACACAAGGGTTAACAGAAAACCCTACAGGCTCATAAAAACAAGAATTGTTATAAAATGGCTTGAATTGGCCATCTCCAGCCAAAGGGGACACCAAGCACACCCCTACAATGCAAGATAGTCTTTGGTTACTCTACACACATGCACAGGCATTGTATGAGATCCAATACCGTAGAATCCTAGACTGGTTTGGGTCGGAAGGGACCTTAAAGCTCATTCAGTTCCAACCCCCCCGCCATGGGCTGGAACACCTTCCACTAGACCAGGTTGCTCCAAGCTCTGTCCAACCTGGCCTTAAACACTGCCAGGGATGGGGCAGCCACAACTTCTCTGGGCAACCTGTGCCACTGTCTCACCACCCTCATAGTGAAGAACTTTCTAATATCTAATCTAAATCTCTTTCAGTTTAAAGCCACTTCCCCTTGTCCTACCGCTACATGCCCTTGGAAAGAGTATACGTCTGAGTATACTGCAGTACGAACCTAAGGGAGCATTTATGCAAACGTTTAACACTAACCCAGTAACACTGCAGACTAAAGACACCATCTGCTCTCTGCTGACAGCACCTCTGCACTGCTAACAGCAAAGGCTCAGATAAAGACAACATTCTCAAAAGGAAAACCAAAAAGCCTCTTACACATGTTAACTTCTGAAAAGGAGTTTCAGCCTGGTGTTCATGCTCAGAGTTAATGAAGGAAAATACTACAGCCAGAAAACTGCAACCATGCAAAGTAGAATGAACCCTCAACAGTATACGTACTGAAATAGAAACAGTAGGTAAACCAGCAACTCTTGGAATTACTCCTCTGTTTTAGCTACAACAGAATAGGAGCCAATCAGTGTGGTTTCCATTCTGTCCCATAATTTAACGTAAAGGAATTTCCCACTTTGCTCATTTGGAATGGTTTAGACAACAAACTGCAAATGTAATGCAGTGAGCAAGGTGGAATTCCTACTGCAGAGAGGTGCAGTTCTCCAAGATGAGCCTGCAGAATTCACACACACACCTTCCTTACAGTATAAACCACAGCAAGCTCTTCACCATGTACCCACCTACAGATTCTGGCCATGTTTTTCATCTGCAATCAAAGTGCTGGAGACTGTCTTGCTAGAAAGAATTAAGAGAACCTGTTGAATGCCAGGCTTGCCACACAGAAAATACAGCAAGCAAAATACTAACAGGGTGAGAAGCACCCATCATTTTAGAAGCAGCAATCAAGAAGAGTTACTAACGAGCTCCTAAAGCCCAGCCACCACCTGAGAGGACTGCTTGCAGGGTTAAAAATGCCTTTTGTAGAGAAGGTGATATACTTCTAAATAAACCAGCTAATGGAACTGAAAACAACAGAATCATACAGTGCAAACAGACTGCAGGACTCTAATTAGAATACATTCTCATAATTTGAGCAGCATTCAGTCTAATCAGAATTTATCCAATTGTGAGGTTAAAAAAGTTATTACCATGATGTTAATAATATTGTGGAGACACCCATAAGATGTAGATACCAGAAATACACACTGTCCGAAGTGTATTTAAAAATACAGTAGAGGGCACACTTCCCAAACGCTTTTATCCTCCTGATTTATCCACACAGCATCAAGTCATTTATCTGTAAGTCATTTATATCATTGAATGGTTTGGGTTTGAAGGGAACTTAAAGATCATCTAGTATTCCTGCAACATACAGGTATGATATGGATATATTTCACTGCAAAATGGTTCAAGCTACACAGTACCTATTAAGATATTACAGGTTGTGCAGTGCAGTTACTTCAGTGAAGCCACTAAAATTAGCTTATGTCCTGCATGTTGTCTTTACTGTTGCTGACAGACTGCCCTACAGGGTCTGAAGGGAGCACAGGGGTTATTCTCTCCAGGAAACCCATACACAGAAATAGTCGTGTTGGTTTGGAGCTACTGTTGCTACTAGGTGAGAGCAACTATGTGAAGTTACTTAGGTTTGTGTGTGATGTGGACTCTAATGCTGCCCAGGGGGGTTGTGGAGTCTCCTACATTGGAGATAATTCAGGGCCCGCCTGGACAAGCTCCTGTGTGATGTACTCTAGGTTACCCTGCTCTTGCAGGAGGGTTGGACTAGATGATCTTTTGATGTCCCTTCCAACCCTTGGGATTCTGTGATCCAGGAGCAGGGAGCTAAATCAGAGGTTTCTTGGTCTGGACACTGTTGTGCAAAAAGACTTATCAACCTGCCACACCGGAATGGACCCGGCCACGTTTACACAGCGCTGAACTAGAGTGTATAAATGCTGCTAGACTCCATCTGGGAGGCTGCCTTCTCCACATACGAGCAGCCTGCAGTTAACTGCGGCCTCACACGTACTTGGTTTTCTCTAGCATTCCTCAGGCTTTGCCAGCCTACCTACACTTGGAGGAGTTACACACTGAGGAACACCTGCCTTTCCTCAGTTTCTTCTGAGCACAGCAGCGTCCAAACACCAGCTGCACACCACCGTTCTGGACAGGGGCACAAAAATAAGGTGTCAGAAAAACGTTTATATTAATTTAGTTGTGTACTCACACGTTGCTTCCATTATTTTATCTGCAACTCAGTGGTATTTAACGGGCAAGTCCTGCCTACGATGAAGAACGCCCGTGAGGAGGCTGAGGCGCGACTAACTCTCCCAGGCACCAGGGGGCGCCGTCGCTCCACGCCCCTCAGCAGGGGGCGGGTAGGAGGCGGTGTCAAGCCCTGCCATTACGTGAGGGGGTGGGAGCATCTTCCAGCCTCTGCGCTGCACCGCCCCGCCCCGCCCCGCCCCGCTGGAGAGTACGGGCCGTGAGGATAGCGGCGGAACGGCAAGGGCCTCGCCGGCCAGGAGGGGAAGGGGGAGGCTGGGAGGGAGTAGCCGGGACACCCGCCCCACAGACGGCGCTGAGGGGCGGCCCGCAGGGCTCCTCCCTTCTGTCAGTGAGGCGCCGAGTCCCTGCCCCTCCTCCCTGCCGCGCAGCTCCCATTGGCTGGCGCGGGAGCGGCCGTGTGCGCGCGCAGGGCCAGCCGCCGGGGTGCGGGCGGCGCAGGCGCGGCGGGAGGCGCACAGCTGCGGCCGGGCCGGGGCCAGGGCGCAGCCCGCTGGGAGGCAGCGGCAGGTGAGAAGCGGGGCGGGCCCGGGTGCCCGCGGGGAGGATGCTCCGAGCCGCGGGGTGCTTTGTGGGCAGTGCTGCCGCTCCCCCGTCCAGCGGGCCCCAGCGCTGCCGCTAGCCGTTCGCGCCCCGCGCTCTAGCGAAGGGCAGGGCTGCGGATGAAGCGCAAGGGGCCCGCGTCCTGCAGGCCCGGTCTCCGCGACACGGCTGACTGTGACAACGGGGATGAACGGGGGTGGGGGTGGTGAAGGGGCTCTCCTGCTCCTGTGCTTCTTTAACGGCCAATTCCAGAAAGATCGGTGCCGGGAAAATGGCAATCACATCATTAAAACACAGGGTTAGCGATGCACTAGAGTGAACAGTTATTGTGTGAACTGAACCACAGCTACTTCAAGAATTATATACCACATAAGGCTCAAGGAAAAATAATCAAAAAATGTTAAAAGATGTTCTGGTTTAGGGTTAAGTGGTAGCTTTTCAACACCAGTTAGAAAAATGCATGGAAAAATACAAATATAAAGGCAGGTCCATTAACGGTTGCATCAGTGTTATTTTTATTTTTTTTTTCCTTTAAGCAGAGCATCTCTCAAGAATACCCCCTTCAAAGGTGGAAAGAGGCCACACTACAATGATGAATGCCGACATGGATGGTATCTTACTGCTTTTCTGTATTATTTTTTCTATTTAATATTCATTTCCAGCTGTTACAGAGGTTGCACTAAAACCCATATGATTTATTGCAGCGGTTGAGGCTGAAAATCAGGTGGAATTAGAAGAGAAAACACGCCTTATTAATCAAGTGTTGGAACTGCAGCACACACTTGAAGGTTAGCAGTTTGACGTATGAGATTTTTCACAAACACACACTAATAAGCAAGAGACGAGAATGTTGGTTTTCTTGCTCTACCTTAGCCAGAGTGCCCAGAAGTATGTTGGTTGCCCAGGTACATGAGCAAGGTCTCAGAAATACTTTATTTTTTTTTTCCTCTCGTTATGCAATATAACATTTGCTCAACTCCTGTAATCCAGAAGCAGAAGGGGTGATAGAGTTAAATGTGCCCAAGCTCCTTAGTTGACAAACATCTCTAAGTCTGCTTCTACCTGTACTGTTGTGTCCAGGTAGTTTAGTTTGCAACAGCTTAATTCAGAAATTGAAGAGAATAATAAAAGTACAGATGAGCAGTTAGCTTGTGTATCAAGTTTGTCACCATACTGGACTACAAAATGATACAGAAGAAACGGGCTTCAGCCAAAATTTGCAAGTAACACAACCTTATGGTAATGTTTCCCACAGTTAAAACTATTCACAGTTTATGCAGGCACATAGGACATACTTATTGTATACAACAGTGTCTGATATGTTTCTTATAATATCACCTTTGCAGATCTCTCAGCACGAGTAGATGCTGTTAAGGAAGAAAACTTGAAACTGAAATCAGAAAACCAAGTTCTTGGACAGTATATAGAAAATCTGATGTCAGCCTCTAGTGTTTTCCAAACAACTGACACAAAAAGCAAAAGGAAGTAAGGGTTGACTCACAGATGATGTCATTGTATTGCTGCTGTCTTTTTTTGTTTTGTTTTAATTGGCATAGGCTACATGAGCTAAAATACCTTAGTTTGTGGCTTTACTGGATACCTGAAGATGAAAAGCTCTGGTGATAAAACACAATGAAGAACATTATCATGAACAAGAGAGATAAGTTTGTAGTATTAAGATTAAGCAAATTGCACATGTAGTATAGAGACTTACTAAACTTTTGTATTTGTTTTAAAAATGAGCATATCTTGTTAACAACTGGATTCAGTTTGTCAGGTTAAACAGAAGTCTGCTGGCACTCTTTGAAGTCTTAGGGTAGTATTCTCAACTAGCAAGATAGTACAGTTATATTGTGTTGAAACCTTACTTGATAAAAATGTTCGAAGTCTCATTGCCTCACCTTTTCCACCTTAAATATATTACAGCTTAGATCTGCAAAGCAATTTTAAACAAAAATCTAGAAACCAGCTAAGAATTTCTGTGAAGGAATACCAGAATGACATTGTTTGCAGGGCTTGTGTACAGAAAAACACTTAAGATTTTTTTGCAAAGGGGGAGGGTAAGAGAAGAGTAACAAGGATAAGCAACTTAAATCAGGGAAATACCAAACTGAGGCAGCATCAGAGCATTTGTAGTTTGCAAGATGCACACTTCAAAGCATTTTCAGTTTCCTGTTTCCACAAAGAATGATCAGTCACAGCATCATGATCCTCCTGAAGACTTTTAGTTGTGTGATGAAGAGTTAGATAAAAATCTAGGTAATATACCTTACAGAAACAGATGGTCAACAACTGCAGAACAATCTGCAGTGAGGAACCAAGCACAAGTCTGTCCTTCCCACCTTTTACCTTCCTTCTGAAGTGCCAAACTTGTCTTTGCTTCAGGCCTTAGAGCAACTGTTTTCCTGCCCCAGAGCCTGAGCTTGTGAAGTACCTTTCAAGGCAAAGCACAGAAACAGGTATCTTAAGGCGGAAGACTGCAGTGGAAGAAAGGTGGCTTTTGCTGCTCAGATTTGTGCTGCTCTGAGCAAAGCCTAGTGTCAAGGTGCCCTGTTTTTTTACTGGCTTGCCAGTTTGTTAATAGGTTTGTCAGAGGAGCTCAGCCCAGGTTGTGGGTCTGAACATTTCTCATAGAAGCAGTACATCTAGCATAATCAGTATTAACAGAGAGAGAGACTGAAAAACAATGTACATTTTAGCAGTACTCAGCTGCGCATTTCATCTTGCGATACAGCAGCATTGTAGACCTTACTTACAGGAGTAACGTAGAACTGAGCTCTGACTCTTCAGTACTAAAGCCGTTGTACTTTCAACAAAAGAAAACCACTAGTTAAAGGATCTCTTCAACCTTGCTGTGATGAATTCTATGAAATAAAGCTGCAGGAATGGAATTAGTAGGTCTAATAGTAGAATAAATCCCTCTCAAACCCAAAGTTTCTAAGCACTGCTGTGTGTCAAGTGTAAGCTGACATTGTGATGTTCCCCCCTCCCAAAGGGGGGGTTTCCCATTTCTCCCTATTTAAGATGGCTGTACAGCACTCAGAGTGTCAGCAAAGTCAAATGAGTGCAAACAGGGCACTAACAGTTCAGTCTTGAGGGCTGATTACAAGTCTGAAGCAAGAAAGATGGAGAAAAGTTTTACCCACCAAGGCACAAGTGGCTGATACCATTTGTGTCATCGCATCCTGTAAACATCTGGAAGTATTTTTAATCTTACAGAACTACTTTCTCACTGGAACTCTAAATTCATCGAGTAATTGCTAGCAGGTAGAGCAGATCACATTGTTAGTCCAGGGTTTGAGCATTAAAAAAAAGACTATTTGCACCAAGCACTTGACTTAAGATTGCCTTGTATTACAGCCATCTCAGCTTTAAAGCCACATCACTGCACATCTCCATCTGCACTGTAGGGGATCAAGTGGAAACAGAGCATGCGCTTGTTAGACTGCAGCAATTTCCCGAGATCAAGTAATCTTAAAATCATGGTTTTGTATTGTAAGAATGGATAGTGATATTTTAATCCATCAGTGTGTATATAGTAGCCATTTCATCTATGTACCATTTACATCCCAGTACTGTGGCCTTCATTTAACTTATTAACATTTTAAAGATGTTGTGTTTCTGACTTTACACTAAATAAAAACTTCTGATTTGTCTCAATTAGTTTGAACATCTGTAAACTCTAAAACTTCACTCTCTCCAGCTCTGCTATCATCTTAAGTGTTTCTATGCAGCCAAAATGTCTGAAAGACTAGATGTAATTAGCAAGTGTGAAGAGTAAACCTGGGTTAATTGATATATTTTCAGCAAAGCTTCCAGTTCCAAACTCACCTGGTGTTTCCACCCATGAATTTTGAATTTCTGTATACTTTTCTGTTCTGGCTAAAGGAAGAAGGAAAAGGATTGGCAGATTGTAACCAGCATTGTCAAAGCTAAAACTTGCATTTCTCCATCTGAGAGAACTTTAAGCCAAGTTAAAAGAGATTTGACCTTTTCTTACACAGGTAGTGAGCTCTACATTAGACAGAAACCAGAATTACTTCATCATATCTTCATGAAGGTGAAAGCTAACAGAGGAGTAGCTTCAGTTGTAATTAAAGAGGCTCGGTCTCTTATGTAGCCTCCCCTGAATATAACAGTCTGGGATTGGGCATCATCAGTAAAACTGCTTTTACTAAGCCATGATGTAGCTGCCGTGCAGAAAGATATCTTCTATCTCTGGGTAATCAAGGTCATTAAGTCAGTATTTAAGTGAGATAGGCCTTACAGAGAGTCAGTATTGGTGCAAACACCATCCTTGAGTCATGGCCTCCTCAGATCATTTTACCCATAATAAACAGCTCTTTGTTTACTGAAGTGCCATACAAGCAAAGATGCTGATGGGGCATTAATCAAGACCTTATGGGAACCTTACTAAACTCTAAGGGAAGACTAGCAACCCCCCTGGGAGTGACCAGTCCCTGGGATAACTGTATCACACCAAACAACCCCCTCCTCCTCCCAAGCCCCAACCCCACCCCCCCAAAAAAAAAACCAACAAAAAACCACAAACCAAAAAAACCCACCCCAATAGATAAACACTACCCCCAAAACCACAGCTGAATGCTGTAAAAAAATCCAAAGGACTTTTACCAGGCTCAGACAAGACACATTCAGTAGAAGTGCTGAAGTGTTCCCTGACAGCTCACAGTAGTTGTTATTAGCAGGGTAACAACTTCTACCTATTGGTCACAAGTGTCAGGCAAGAGGAGGAATCTGGACTCTTCACTTAACCTTTTGAGTTTAGACCCTAAGTAAAGAGGAGGGAACATGCATTAAACCAAACAAAAACCCAACAAAAAAAAAAACAAATACAACCAACCAACACACCCCATAAAACTCTCTCAAACTCTTAACAAAACCAGAGGCCTTTCCACATAGTTCACACAAAATTAGAGTCCAATACAATTAACTTTCAAATAGTTCAGCACAAGCACTCGAAGGCACTAGCTTCTGGATTAGGGTTAATTAACTGTTCATTTGTTAGAGGCTGCCATGGAATATACACTGACCCAATCTGCTGTGAAAATATTTAAGAGGTTCCTGGTGACTGCAGTTTTATTGTTCGTTTTAATATGCAGCTTTAACAAAACAACATTTCTTTTACAATATGCAGTTTATTTAAACTATGTTATGAGAATGCCCAGTTACTCACATCTGTAAAAAACTGAATCCATCAAAAAATCTATATTAATAAATTCCATGTTAAGCAAGAGTTATTAAATATTATTAGGAGGCAATGTACACTTAGCAAGTATTCTATAAACAGAGGTTATACCACTCTGGCTTGGAACATGAGAACTATAAAAGTTTGAAAAAAATCATCTGTATATGTCACTTTTGCAGTTTTGATACTGCATTCAGAAGTAAACCAAGTCACATTAATTACTGCATGTTCTAGGAGTATTCTATTTTAAAATAACTCTTAAAAATAAATTACAATGTCTAAAAAGTAAACAGGTGACCAGCCATATAACAAGATCAACTAAAATAAATAATTTACAATAGAAACTGTTGCTAGCACTAAATCATACAAAAACAATTATTGCATTTAGCTCTGCACAGAAAAAATACCTTTTCTCGTAGCAACGTGAACCACTATAGATGCTACATCTATACTATCATCCTCTTTCAGCTGAAAAGTGTAAACCACTAATTTTGTGCTAGAGCTGCAAAAATATTATAATTTATTCATTTTAAAAAATATTTAAAGTAAGTTATCTCCAACTAATACTAATTTCTAGGAACCTTCAAATCTTAAGGATCTTCACCTTAAGATCAGCTGACTGACGTGTAATTTCACATTTATTCTGAATTCAAAACATCAGACAACTCCTCACATATAGTTCTCCTTAAAAAAAGGGAATCAAGGAACGTTAAAAGAGATCAGAGAATTCAAATAAGAACTTCAGTAGCAATAAGCCCCCCTTTTTCCTTCAAATCTCAGGAACTTGCCTGCTGTCAAGGCCCACTGAGGTGACATAGCAAAAGTTACCATCATCTAGATCTACAAATACTAGCTGGAAGTAACTCAGTCCTTCCGTACTCTTCTTTTGCGCACTGATTTCAGTGGACTATCTCCATAGCCTGTGTCTTCGTTAGCTTCTTTCACCTGGGGGGGGGGACCAAAAAAAAGCAGCATTAAAATTTTAAACCAGTTTTGATTATCACAACTGGCATACTACTTTATCCCCCTTCCCCTCACCCTCATCACTGTATCACTAAATCCAACACTTCAGCAATAGGACATTTTTTTCCTAATACTAATCTATCAATAAATAAAGTAGGTGGAAGACTTTTTCTTTCTATATGCAGAAGGAAGAGACCAGTACATCAAAACTAATGTCAGGAATTTGGTTTTGCCCATTTACTGCCTGGTTTAAAAGCAGACAATGCATTGCTTTCTCACTTCCCTGCATCACCTAATGGTAAGCACCTCATTTAGAAGGAGCAGCTCACAGACTGGCG